CCCCCATAATATGCTGAAATAAAAATAAAAAAAAAAAAAAGAAAAATAGCTGTATTTTCCAAAACCAGAAAAAAAGTAAGAGAAGTGGCATTGTTTTTACATTTTGCAAATTTTTACTGTCTGGCGTAAGAGAACTCAGCTGGATTCTTATATCTGCTGCTACGTTTGATCTCTTATGATTTAGTATTTTGGTTGATGAAGAAAATGACGGAAATTTGGCTCTACACATATTTGTAGTTAGAAGGTGTGTATTTTGATAACCTTTTTAGATAATTGTAAATTTTATTCTTTGTTATTACACCAAAATTCAACAAGTAGTAGTTTCTTAAGGTTAGTTGCAACGTAGAATATGAAACCATATCAATTGACCTTTCATACTCTGTTGTGTTATAATCCACTGATGCACTTTTAATGCATCTTTTACTTGTGCATGATATTGTAATATCATGCATTGGCAATTTGGAAGATATTGCTTCATTGAGTTTTATTTCTCTTTCCAATGTTGACATTTTATTATATAATATAAAGAAAAAATCACAATCAGCAAATCCTTAAATATTAGAAAGCTGTTGAGTAACGGAAGTTTTTCAAAATTCTAATTTTTCACTTGAAAGCTTGAATTTTATCATTGGCAACAAGTCTCAAAATACTGTTAGCATTTTAAAGTAACAGGCACTCTTGATTTTTGAGAAGTCCTTTGCCAAATACCTAAATTTGAATGACTGTAGTGTCACATGTGCTTTTCCTTGAGATGACTTTGATATAAAATACAAGTGCTTTATGTGTACTTCCCGTTTTGTCATGAATATTAAAAAGTGTACCAAAGGGTTGAGATTTAATAACATTAATGATTTACTGCTTCATCAAAAACATTCTTGAGAATTTTTTTTAACTGTAAGTGCATGGAGGTGGAAAATACCTGTGCTACTGGTTGATGCCACTGCCTTGGTTCATGCCGACTTGCCAGCAGTTCTATTCAGTTCTGCTTTACCATCATCATTACAAATGTCAGCACAGTAGAAAAGGCAAATAAGGTCTAAATATTGTGAGAATAGTTTTTATCTTGGAAACTTCATGAAAGGGTCTTGGGAATCGCTAGAGGTCTGTGGAGCATACTTTGAGAACTGTTGATAAAAAGAAATTAAGGATGCAATAGCATTCTTGAATGCCTTTTGGAAAATAGGACTTGCATTTAATTTTTGTTGACAGGAGATAGAATTACCTATGATATTTTCATAATAGAGTTAAATTTTTATAGACATACAGTTTTTCCTTTCCAGCAAAAAAAAAAGAGTTGAAGGGAGGAGGGAATAAAAGATAGGGCTTAATCATTTATTTGTGCTTCACTTATATTGGTTCTTAGCCATCTGCATTGAAAGGTGATTTTGAAAGCAGGAAGGGGCACTAGAATGCAAGACTCAGAATTTATTGGGGGTACTCAGAGGAGAACCAGAATGTGTTGTATGATGAATTGAAACAGATTATACAGTAAAGGGTCTTATCCTCTTCATATACCTCTATTTTGTCCAGGTAGATTATTTCTTCTATAATATACAGTACTCTAAAACATCAATTTTATTTTTATTATATTTTGCAGAGACTCTGAAAAGCTTCCGTCTTGTAAGAAGCCCCTGTCTCCAGTCAAAGATAACATCCAACTAACTCCAGAAGCAGAAGAGGATATATTTAACAAACCTGAATGTGTGCGTGTTCAGAGATCAATATTCCAGTAAACACAGACTGCTAAGAGGCTGTTGCCTACAAGAGAATCTTATGAATTTGAAGTCCCTATTTGGGAATGAGGCAGTTATCAGCCTGAAAGATTTGTTCTTTGATCTATACCATTTTTAAAATAGAATACATTTTGTATATTAACTATCTAATTGTTTTCTTTTGCTCAGCTTTTTATATTTTTATAAGAAGCTAAATAGAAGAATAATTTTATCTTTTTTTGGAAGTTTTAATGTTAATTGGGCAAATCCCATGAAATTTATAAAAATCTACTCTAAAGATTTCTGTAATGTTGTCAAAGAAGGGTAGTAAGTAGAAAACCACAATCCTAGGGGAAATCATTGTATTTCTCCGGGCTGTAAATTTTCCATCTGCCTTTCCTCTCTATTATTTAGGGTTGAATTGAGAAATAAAGTTGTTGGGGTGGGAGGGGTAGTTGGAAGGGTTAAGGATCATTACACAAATAGGACAGTGCTCTGTTATTCCTGAAGAGTTTGGTTGGATTACAGGCTGACAGTGAAGGAAAATTGTTTTCAGCCTCATGTGAAAGGAACTACTTCTTGTATCATTAATATTCGTAAACTTCAAAATAGCCTCAGTTTTAATATATCTTTTTGGAAGTGTGGGCTAAAATTTCCTTAAAATATATTTAAAACTAGTGCCCTAAACAGATACTAAAGCTGCACAGTCTGTGATATGTACACTCTCTAAGGAAATAGGTAGATGTCTGGAAAGAGAACTAGCTACACAAGTGAAGATCTGAAGTGACAGGAAGTAGAGGAATTATGAAAGTATTTGTGGTATAGAGGATGAAGGAAAGGGACCCAGGATATTTTAACTTTTAAATGAGACTTAGTGGTAGACTCTAGGAAAATGAGGTTAGAATGGAACAAAAACATAATCAAAACTGTAAAAAACATAAAAACTAAAAAAACAAAAAGGCCCAATCTGGAAAAGACCTAATCCAATGAACAAAGCAGAAGTGAATTCCCAATCAATGTTTCCTGTTATAAAACAAATTAGAAATGTGAATCAAACATTATCTACAAATACTTATCTCCTCAGCCACTAAAAATGCCACTTAAATGGCAGAAAATGAATAAAACATATATCCACAAGGGATAACAGAATGGAAGAGGAGACATCAGGCAAGGAAACTGATTCATGATGGTAAGTGATTTAGCAAAGAAATGTTAATATTTCTAGTGGCAGAAGCGAACAAGAGGTAAAAGTCTAGGTGGAAACATCGTGCAGATTCCTCTGAAGCCAGAGGTGCAGAGAGTAAGGCTAAAATGGGATTGGTTTTGAAAACCTTTAAAAACAGGGTGGGAGAAGGGGACGGTGGTAGCAGTGCCATAGTGTTCAATCTTCAGATCCCCACATAATAGCAGCTGGACAGCAAAGTCAAAAATCTGTAACAATATTGACCACAAATTTAGGTGACTTGGCATCCTTAAATCCCAAAATGTATAAGTGGGTGAAGACAAGCCACCGACAGCCGCGAGAACACAAGATGGTATTGGCATCTGTTCAGGCGAAGCAGAAGAGAGGAAACAGCATCTAATGACCTGAGAACAGAACTTTAAAATAACCACTGAAACACAGCAGGCCAAGTTGCAAACGGCACTTGAAGCTGGGAGAGGCTGTGCCCCCTCCAGAGGTGGCTGAGTGGCAAACCAGGCGGTGCGGTCTGAAGGACTGAAGCAGGCCAGCCCCTGTGAAGTATTGACACTTCACCAAGTTCATCCGGGCTCCCTTCAAGAGCGGCATCCCTCACAAGAGAAACTGCTGGGATGAAGCCAAACTGAGCAAGAGAGATGAGGAGAAGGTTGAAATACAAGTACAATAAGGAACAGTCAACAAAATCCTCAACAGAATTCCTTTTTTTGAACACTTAAAAAAAAAAAAACTCCAAAAAGCTTCTATGAATCATGCTTCCTTCTCAAAGTTGAGGAAAACTAGTTTTCCTTAAAAAGAAACTACAGAAAAGTTTTTAGATCAATCTTATACAAATTTAATTTAAAAAATCAAGAGCAGAAATAACATCTTTACAATGAAAATAGAAAGAGGCCCACAGAGCAGATCAAAACTAGTTCATTTGAAAATGTCCAAAAAGATACTAAGAAAATGATATACAATATGAAGGAAATTTAGAATTGGAAAAATTCAGAAATAAGATAAACTCGTGAAAGCATTGGAAATAGAAACATTTCAGAAATGACTAAAAAGAAAAAGACTACAGATAATAAGAGATAAAAATACAGAAATGGGAAAATTTTCTAAAAATCAGGAATTGGCAAATAGGAAAAGAAGGCTCAACATGCAGATAATGAAAGTCTGAAACAACTATAGTTCTGGAAAACACTAATGTTAAAAAAATAAATGAAACAATATTTTTTAAGTGTACATTTGTACCTAAGATTATTGTACCCACAATAACACAAAGACATGAATAACAATACTATTAAGGAAGCAAAAACAAATGATAGATAAAAACATTAGATCATCAGGCTTCCACAATTATACTTTATGCCTGAAGAAAACGAAGTAACACTTCTAAGATAAGGAAAAATGGGATCTGAGGTTTTTATATCCAACAAAATTAACTTTCAAGTATAAAAGGCACAAGCTTACCCAACAAACAAAAATTGAGGAAATATGGTTCCCTTTAACCCATTCCTCAGGAATGTACCAGAAAATGAGCTGCAGGTAACCAAAATAGCTAGAGAAATAGTGACAAATACTGGTGGTCAGCATTAAGCATATGTTACTCACACAGTTAAAAAGAGTATAGTATACAAAAACATTTGGTTTAGCTGGTGATAGTCTGATATATTTATGGGATACTTTAATTCTTCTGTGTTTTGTTTTGTTTTTTGAGAACCAGTATTTTTCTTAGTGTGGAAAAAAGGAGATACAGCTATAAAACAGAACATGTAAATTTTTTTTTAAATATCCTGGTAGTAATGAATTTGAATTGGACATGCTGGTATAAGCTCATGAATGTATATTGAATACACATGTGTATGTATGTGTATCCACGTTTTAAGTTTGTACTGTGACTTTGTACCATTCATAACAGGATTGCTAGCACATCTGGTTTTGAAATGCCATTTTTTTTTTCCACTAAAAGAAACCAGGACTTCTTGGGAAAATAGTCTGTGGCAGGAAACAAAAGATAAGCCTAGGTAGGACATCTCATCAGAACAAATAGACATTGTCAAAAGCTACTAGGTAATTTCAGATGAGATCGGGCACGACCAGGGTGGTATGGCCGTAGACGGTAATTTCAGAAAGTTTCAAAAACCAACTTAAAGGGGCTCCCACTGTCCAAACATGGGAAAATTTGATCTTCAAAAAAGATAATTACAATTTATTAAAACCCATTGTAAACATTAAAAATGGTCACCATTGAAGGATGATGGAGTATTCATTGTTTTGAAAACTGATAAAAGGGGAAAAAGTATTTTTTTTCTTTTTCCTCTATTAACTGTCCAACTCTTAGAAGTGTACAATTGGGTGACCAAATGGTAGATGGTGGGGGGGAATGTCTCTTTTTAGTGTTTTAATAATCAATGAGATGATATTGCCATTTTGCAACCTCCAGTGGATCAATGGATTTAGACTTTGAGCATCAACTGCTATTAACATCACAAAAAGACAACCAGACATTTTATACCTCCTAATGAAAGAACTCTACATCACCTCTAGTTTTGCCAAAGGGATTAGAGATGAGTCTGATCATGCCTCTGGGACCAGCTGTCTGCCAAATTGCAGGAGATACAGAGTCTGGGACATGTTGAACTGAAGCGCGAGTGTGCAATTAGCAAAGTCCAAACTATGGGAAGCTACAGGTTAAATGTGGCAAAATTCAGACTCGGAAACTATAGTTTAAGTGCTCTGTGATTTTCAACAGATAAACTGTAAGGAAGGGGACGGGAAGGAAGTTCCACATTATAAAATAGGCAACACTAAACTAGATTACTTAGGGATGCACGGTCTGGTGATGATAAAGATATACAAGGAAGTGATAATTATAAAAGAATAGCAGAATAGTGGTTTACTCTGGGGGAGGAGTGGGAGAGCATTGATATTGGTTAGGACAAGGCACCTGGAGGGGATTCTGGAGGTAGCTAGCAAAGTTTTATGATCCTGGTGGTGTTTATGGGATATCTACCTTATGATAACGTAATAGCTTATTAAGCTATTATATTATTGCCATATTATAAGACAGGTGTTGGCTTATAATAATTTAAGCCATGTAGCTATTGTGTGTAGTTTTCTGTATTTCCTGTTTTATATTTTTTAAAGTACTAGTATTTTAATACTTTATAATGTAATTTACAATCAATTACATAAAATTGAAGATTTCATTGATTGTAAGTTGCATTATCATTTTAGGTACCGTAGAAAGAAAAATCCATTTAATGACACTCCATCAACTTTAGCACATATTCTATTTTCAGAAATTGTAAAATGTTTACCTTAGAACAAATGAAATGCAATAATTAGACACCACAGATCCTGTTCCTTATGCACTAAATAAGACTATCCTCACCCCCCAAAAACTGTAGTTTACTCTCTGAATAATTGGCACCAAACATTTTCTGACCTTAAAAGACAGGAAGCATTGTGGAGGGAAGGGTGAGGCACCATGCTGAAAAGAAGGGATAAAATGAAAATATACTAAACAGTATGGTTCCCCATCCCATTTCCCCATTTAACTCCCATTCTCTCTCTTTCTGAGATTCCAGTTACATGTATGTCAGACTGTTCAAAATTGTCCCACGGCTCTTGGGTACTGTTATGCTTACTTTCTGCTCTTCTCTGTTCTTCAGTTTGGGTGATTCTGTTGACTCATCTTCAAGTTTACTGATTCCTTCTCTCTGTTGCATCTAGTGATGAGATCATCAAAGGCATTTTTCACCTCTGTTGTGTTTTGTTTTTAATTTTTAATTACACATACTAGTTATACGTATTTCAGGGGTACATGTGACATTTT